AATTACATTGCAGTTCCACTGTATGATTGATTCCATTGCGATTTTAAGAGTTTAAATGTATGTAAATAAAATACTTTCACAACAAACAAATAGAATAAATAGTATGTAGGTATGGACGGTACATAATAAATAAAATAAATAGTTTTTAAATATACAGTTGATATAAGTGATACAGTATCACTCACGGAGCAGTCTTTTTAAGCATGCCCCGATTTTTTGTTGGATTTTAGTTGGGGTCCATAGCAGATGAATCACGATCTGTAGTGGAGTCCCCTGGTTTTTTCCTTTTTTCGGACGCAGCCAATAAATTTGTAGAGACAGTATCAGATCTATCTCTACGGAAGATTAGACCTGATGATGGGCCTTTAAAATGGTCGCACTTAGATGTAGAACATGAGATTGCGTTTCTAACTGCAATTTCGATATGAGGAATTATTGTTGATATGATCTGCTGAATGTTCATTTCTGATGACTTTTGGACGACAGCAGAATAGGACGTAGTAGGTTTTGGAGTGGTAATATTTATTTTCTTTTTGCTTCTGCATATGTTATGTTTTCCATTACCTTTACTATCTGTATTGCTGCTTCAGCTTTTAGTTTTGGACAATTCATTTTTTCGGTTCCGGGCAAGGACCTTCATGTGGAGGATTACCACATGGACATATTTTATCCTTCTGACAGTTTCCAGCTGTGACCTAAAGCTTGACAGTTGAGACACCTGGGTAGGTGGTGGAATTTAAGGCCTTACATTTAACTTATGGAATGCAACCCTGATTTTTTTTGGTAAGACAGTTTTCCTAAATGTCAAAACGTGATTTGGAGTTTCAACCAGTTCTCCATTTCTTTTACCCTTTAGCCTTCTCACATCTGTGACACCATCACGTTTCAGTTCATCCAATATCTCCTCAATCGAGCAGTTGAGCAAGTCTCTGCAAAAAAACACGCCTTTTCGGGTATTGAGGGACTGGCGTGCCTCAATACTCACATCAAATTCTCCAAACTTTTTTACCTGGTATAGTCGCATAGTCTGCTGTGTAGATTTAGTTTCAACAAGGAGACCTTCTCGAACCTTTCTCACTAACTTTACTTCACCAACAATTCCATATAATGTCTTTGATATAACAAAAGGGCTCACTTTATCAAAATTATCGTTTTCTCTTTTAACAAGCAGAAACCGGGGGCAATCGCCCACCGTCCTCACGCCTGCTGAAGGACTGGAAAGTGCTCCCCCAGCACTACCCGTTTTTTGGAGGGCGGGCGCCTCCTGGATGTTTTGGTTTTGAGTAGGCTTCATCTTATTCCCACGAGTAGGATCTGACATGGAGGTCGACTATGAAAGAGCAGGCTTATCATAGCAAGGCTAGTTTTAACCGGAGGTCGCCCGGTAGCATTTTAACACTATGGTATAGGATTCGGCACCAGCCTTAATTTTATTGGTCAATTTCAATTTATTTAACCAATAACAAGCTGGGTGCCGAAATCACTACCGGAATGTTAAACAGTGCTGAAAACAGTGTCAGAATGTTATCAATAAACTACTTCTACTAATATATATATATATATATATAATATATATAGTGAAAAATTAAAGCTTCCGCCTTTTGTTGGGTACTTCGACAAAATTTAAGCAAAGAGGACTCTTTATACTTTTTTAATTCTCTCTAGCTTTCAATGGACTTTGCCATCATCATCAGGAGCTGCAATTACAATGATAACAGTAGCAACAAAAGTGTAAAATGAATTTAAATTGACTCAACTTACAGTAGTATGTGAGGTGTTGCTAATTGTTGTTTACGTATAGGATGAGGGAAACGTCCAGTAACATGGTGAGAGCTGGATAGATGGTACAATTGTCAAAATTATATAAAATATGACAAGAACAAGTTAAAAACAGATTAAAAATTATTAGAGCATTACATCGTGAAGCCACTTGATGATTGCACAAAATGGTGTCATGGAATAGTGAGTGAGATGAAACCCTTTGACAGAAGGCCGAAGGTTGTCATGTCTGTGTTGAAAGATGGAATGAATTGTGGGCGTGTGCCAACGTTGCCAAATCACTTCAGATGATGTGATTTTCAGAATGTTATGTAAGAAATTGTTAAACCGACCACAGGCAGTTGAATAAACTATATTTTGATTCATGGGAATTTAAATTAACAATTATTAATAAATCGTGAGAAGAGAATTATTATATTTGAGTGGAATGAAATTTACTGGTGGAATTGGCCAAACACAGATTCTATTTATGGTTGTGGAGAGTCGAAATTTGGGGAGATATGTAAGTTCTCCAATTTTACACTTTTGTTGCTACTGTTATCATTGTAATTGCAGCTCCTGATGATGATGGCAAAGTCCATTGAAAGCTAGAGAGAAAAAAAAAGTATAAAGAGTCCTCTTTGCTTAAATTTTGTCGAAGTACCCAACAAAAGGCGGAAGCTTTAATTTTTCACCTATATAATATATATAAATTTTTCATGTAATTTTTCTTATTGCTAAACCAAATTATTAATTTTAAAATCATTAAATATCGTAAAGGAAACAACGTGTGTTGATTATTATCTTACGTATTTTTAGCGGAAGGTAAGTAAATTTAAATTTAAATTGATAACATTCTGACCCCATGCTCAGCACTGTTTAACACTCCGGTAGTGATTTCGGCACCCGGCTTGTTATTGGTTGAATAAATTAAAATTGACCAATAAAATTAAGGCTGGTGCCGAATCCTATACCATAGTGTTAAAATGCCGCCCGGTACCCGGAGGCAGCCGTTTGGAACACACTAACGCAGTGCCATTCATCCTCTCAGCACGGCAAACACCTTGGGATGCGGATTTTTTTTTGAGGTTTACTCCTCTAGATCCGCCGTGTTCTGTTCGGAGCAGGGACAGCTCTAGCAGCATGTGGTTCTTCACCACGCACGGGCGGTTTTGCAGGTGCAGAAGCTGTAAGTCTGTATTACGCTATACACCTGCCTGGGCAGCTTTTGCCTCGCGGAGGCTACTCACAGGCCCTTGTCCACGTACAATTTAATCATATTTTCTAACTTACACCTCAATTTGTTAACACTGTCAGCGATTTGGGAAGCATTTGGCCTTTTAAATGCAAGTGAATGATCACTTTTCTTATTTCGTCAGAAACAGCTTTACCACAAGCCATTTTTAATTGTCAACAACAACACCATCAGGGTTGTTACGTTTTAATCAACATGTTTAAAACCTGTGTTTTAAACCCTGTACAAAACAATGAAGGTGTTTAACTGTTTCAAACATGTTTCAAATACTGTTTTCTTGTCATTTGTGAATTATTCAAGTTTTTTTTTTTAATATTTTTTAAGTACTTATTAAGATTGATTTTTATTTGCAAAACAAAACTAAAAGGGCCATAGGTTAAGACACATAGGTGCTAAAAAATATACTTGATTTTTTATTAATTAATCAAACATGAAACTAGGGAACTAAAATACTAGTGGAAAAAAAATCTTTTCATAACGAACGAGTGAACTTAATAAACTGCATTGAACTCC